GTTTGTTTGGTTTTTTTTAACTTCTTTCCTATGCAAGCAATAGACTTCTGGAACGAATCTGCTCTGCCAGAATTGCTCAGAACTTTCACATACAAGGTCAAAAAGGTGGACAGAATAAAGAATAGCTTTCTTTTTAAAACAGGAAAAACTATTTGTAACTTCCTTCCACTCTAAAACAAAACAAAACCAAGAACTCTGCAGAGACTTCCATAACTAATGTAGTATGAAAAGCAACATTTATTGAATATTTTTAAAGGACAGTATTCCTTTGAAAAGCTGTAACTAAAAATAATTCATTTGACAGTCCAGCTGAGATATGTTTATGTCCCTATCTACTTCTAAATCCTGTGCTAAACAAAACAGAGTGGGTTTTGCAGCTGTCGTCATGCACTTAGGACACTCAAATAACCTCAAATGTAAATAAATGAGCAATTTACTTTACGTTTACAGTAAAAAATGCTATGCATACTCAATAATGTATTCAGCATGTTACTTAATTCACTGCATCAGTATTTGCATATTCTTGCACTACTTTCTAATGCTTCAGTCCAGCAATTAGCATACTGAATCTTATTAAATATATCAAAGGTGTCTTTTTAGTTAGCACAGTGAAAAGAAAAATATACACCTGCAAAACATTTTTTTAAACACTAATAATTTAAGAAACATTAAGTGCCATAGGAACTGTTACCATCTTGATACACTAGACACAATAGAACCCATTTAAGAGAAATACCTACAGTGGCACCATCCAACCACCTTGATTTACAGACATCCTGTAAATTTTTCAGTGGAGGGGAAGATCCCTGTAAGGCTAATTGAAACCCACTAAGGATAAGGTTGGGCTTTTTTTCTGATTATCTTTCACAGATCCCCTTGAAAATTTTTCCCCAGAAACCTCAGGATGGGCCAGAAGCTGAAAGCTAGCGTCTCCATGGTATTATAAAAAACTATATTCAACCTGGCATGCTTCAGAGCCTACTAGTCACACTGGGTGAAACCCTGACCTTGCTGAAGTGACCAGATATTTTTCATTTAATCCTTAATTTATCACAGAAATAATGAGTCATAAAAAGAATATGCTCAATTATTTTTCTAA